CAGTGGAATCTAGGACGAGCTCCACTTCATACTATTTGGGACTCTACAGCTGAGTATACCTGCATCTCATAGTTGATGTTCACTCCGGGACTCGAATCCAGTACCGTTCGCTTCAAACGCCATCGTGTTCTACACTTAGCTACTGAGTCCTGGTAGCCACGAAACGCCCGTCCTGGATTCCATTGTTAGACACTATCCATCTTCGCTTAAAAGGCTTGTGACTTAAGGTAATATTGAGGCAGTCTGCACAAGATGCACATATACCAACATGAGATTGATCAATTGCAGTCCTAAATAACCATAGGAAGATACCAATAAAACAACAATTGAATTTATAACAAGACATTGTTTAAACATAATATGCTTGATGTTTTGAACTGCCTAGTATTATAATTAATTGTTCTTACACTACTGTTCAGTGTATATTTGTAATAAATCAGTTCATTTGAAATTGGACAACTGTGTTATTAAGTTTTCATATTTTTAATAACTCATTCTTTATTACACAATTAATTGATTACTGGGTAGTGACTAATATCACCTTTGTTTAGTCCCCAAATAGCGCACATAATTTCGAGTTAGACTAATGGTCGTAGTGTAACTTGATCGATAAAAATTGGTCAGCACTAGAGGATTAGATCAACCAATCGTAAGTATCTTAATCTAACAGTAATTCAATTGGTGCACAAATGCATTTGTGGTAACATATCATGCTATGAAGCACGATGACAAGGAGTCGAAGCTTCCAGAAAGCACCAATTTCCTCAAGATTACAAGTATAGCCTGTTGATAAGTGTTAAAAATAGCATGAAACCTAGACCATGCACAGGTTTATGTCGACTATCTTCAAGCCCTCAAAATTCTGTATTGAAATGTAGAAAGAAATCATTTATTTATTTTGACAAGCGTTAACAAAATACGGTAACAGATAAAACAATATATCAGTTACTATCCAATCATCTAAGTGATAAATGCTTTGAATCTGAAATCGGTTGACACACATTCTAATTCCACACGAAGTATCAGTTCTATGCTGGTTGAAGATATACCTTTTCTGACGAGTATTAACTAGAACTGATTTTCATCAATCACTTAACATATAAGAATAAATTTGCAAAAATCATACAGTTGTAACCATATTCTAGTGAATAACTACCTGGAATAAAAAACAAACAAACAAACAGACAGACAACAACTGACATTTACATCTTGATTGTTGTTCATTTACAACAATAACTGTAATCTGTAAAAAAAATAATTTAAACGTGTCTGAATGTAAAGACGAAACATAGTTTATATTCATTTTGCTTATGTCATTCGCTGATAATCCCTCTTTCATTTGCACAAATATTTAATATTCTCTTTTTTAACACTTATCTTGCCTTGCACATTTTAAAATAACCTCACTTTTGGAAAGAGAGAAGAAATATCAAAATTTATTTGCACATTATACTTTACTGAATTGATATATATATACATATACCGTATCAATAATGTATACCTATATAATAGTGAATGTTTTTAGTTTCTATGTTCATTTCACTTTCTATATTCATGTTTGTAAATCAAAAACAAAAAAAACTCCATTGAAACGGGTCTTTCACATACTTTTGTTTTACTATCTTATCAGTATAAACATTCATATAACTGGGCATTAAACTAACTACATCTTTAGTACTACTAGTCATTAAATTATGTAATCATTTCACAAAACTGTACATATATCTATACTTAACCTTTACATCTACCGACATATATTCAACATTGAATACTCTGATGATGATTATTATTTTTTTTCGTTTTTTCACTCCATACTATTTAATGGATTATTTTTCTTAGTGTATGAAAGAAAAATTGATTTTTCCTGTCTAAATTAACTGATCATCTATTATAGTTACAGTGATAGATACATAGAACTACATATGTACAACATGTACACAATACAACACAATTTAATTATGTATCTTTAAATTAGTAGTTGTGTAGATTTCACTCTCTCTATGTATGTGTATCTACATGAAGTGTAGACAGTAATTTCAATTGGTTAAAATAATTGTTAGTTTATTTGTTTAAATGAATGGTTCAAAATGTTTATAGTCTATAGGTAACTATTGATATACTTAGAGGTGTACGTAGAGCTGTAGCCAACGTAGAACGATCATTAATACAATCACTAGAGCCTACTGTTATACTGACTGATTTTCTTATTGGATTTATTTAACTTTGTACACGTACAATTACACAAATAAATAAAATGTGTTCATTTGTAAAATGTGCAAAAACTTTCATCATAATGTTTTTTATCGTTTATTATGAATAAAGGTTAATTCATTTATTTTATTTTATTTATTTGGTAGCCTTTATGTTTTATACAATTACAGTAAAGGTATATAAACGAGGAAAATAATTCTATGATTTAGTTCTTCACATATACTGACGGTTAGTAATCAGTAGGAAAGGAATGAATTTAGAAAGAACTGACCTTTGTGATAAGATAACACACTAAAGAGAGTGATGTAATAATAATAATAATAATAATAATAATAATAATAATAATGTTATTACTGCGTGTAACCATTTGATTAATATGTATTTATTATGAGGTAATAAAACAGCTGGAAACAATAAATTGACTGACATTTAATTATATCAGGAATTTGTTTTTTTTTTTACATGATGAATAAGTTTTATGAATCCGGACTTACTTTTGTTTGTCATGTATTCTCTAGTTTAATCAAAATATGTTTATTTTGAAGAAAGTTGTAATAATAAGATTTGAAGAATGAGATGAATTCGTTCCATTTTAAGTGTTTCATCAACTGTTAAAGCTCAGAGTTGAATGATGTTAAACATGTTATTTATTGTAAGTTCCGCCTGTTTGCACTCTGTATGAGCCAATGAAATACAATGAATTTAATTCATTCACGGAAGCTTATTCTTTCATTGTCTAATATCACTGAAGTAATCAAATAATTGAAGTTAAGTACAGTCAGTTGAATGAATCCCTTGACTTCAGGCTACTTGCATTCGAACGAATTTATTAGTTACCAAAACCCATAGTATATCAAGGGATTTAGCAAGTAAATATTAATTTTACTCATTTCATTTAGAATAGAATACATGTAAGCACAACTAAAGTTAGTTTTTTTAATATTAAAAGAGTTTTCGTGTGGCTGTTCTCAGTAGCTTACTTCATTATCTGAAGCATATGAATCAATAGTTTATCTATTCAATTACCCATAGTCAGTGTTATGACTGTGATTGGAGATTAGAGCGCAGCGAATAATCGATCGAACCAAAGACGCGTAAAACACGTAAGAACGACCTAGAGTCCCGATTGGCACTGCTTCCCTGTCTAGCCCAGCCGGTTGAGTCCAGAACAAAAGTCTCAGCCTCTGAGATATGAATCATTATATTTCAGGCATACTGAATTTATATACCAATCAAACCGACCACAATGTACCAATAAAATAGAAAATAACATTTGTACAATAATTAGCCAGAAGTGGCTGTGAATGATGGAGGTAGCGACTAACAGATAGGGAATAATTCATGAATGGTAAATCGTACAATAATAGTTCATAGGTCAACATAAAGCTAATAATAAGAGGGACATGAATATGAAACAGTTTAGTTACATAACAATTATACGATAAAAATATACGCCTAGTTCTGGTTCATAAATGGATCCCAAAAATTACCATTCATTATTTTCATCGGGATACAACAGTCAGATTACACAAATTTTCATTTTTGGGCCTCCATAAAGCAGTACTTTAGTAATTACTAAACAAACACTTTTTATCATAGCAATAAATCATAGTTTCAAAATATTCTAATGGAACAGTCATGTTATTATTGTTGGTATCTTCTAAACAGTGATTAATTGTTTAAAACATTTCCCGTGAATACTTGTTCAATCTAGTTTAAAGACTGAAATATTTCAGTGAAATCAAGTGAGAAAACGTATTACATTGAAAAAGTAAAATGACTCATTTACTCAAAGGGAAAAGAAACAGTTTGACTGTGATTGTATTTGTTTAGTATAAATAGATCGTTATCTTTTTGGTTGTAAATGTAATCACAAACATTTTCATTATCCATGTTTAACATGTGGTGTAAAACTAAAATAAACCATTGTTTTGTATTAAAATGAGTAATGTTTTATGTTCATTTCACTGCATTTATTTCTTTAAACACATAAACATTGGTACAAGGAGGCACCAAATAGATATGCGCCACATAAATCATTCGATATGTGTGGGGAGTGGAAAACTCCCCGCTTGTCCAAATCAAAGCGAGTGGTTTTCTTAAGTGGCCACACTCGGAGCCTTTTACCTAAAGGTCTAATCCATAAGGCAGTGAAGCATCGTAAGGAGATGCAGTCCCATGGTAACCTCTGATCAACGATTGACTCATACGCCATTTGTTTGCTTAGGATCCTAGTGACCATGTACACCATTGGTTTAGGATGAAGGTTTTCCAACTCCCCTAGATTGACTCTCCGTGTCCACCAACCCGGTTAAAGCTCCGGACATTCGATTTTCGTCTTCTCAATTTCGTAAACAACACCCGTGGTACGAGAAGTCATTGAGTAGGATTTCCCTGGCAGTGGTTGTATGCACGTGGCCATGTGAGAGTATTTCGAGAGGGAGAGAGTTGACTTTCCCCACTCTCGGCCGTACCATGGCATTTCTCTGCATAATGAGATATGAATTATACACCGATTCCGTAAAGTATTAATCCTCAACTTCTTACTCGTGATAAGGAATTCTGATATCTGTCTGAATAATCAATATACTGATACTAGGTGATAAATCATCTTAGTGTTATAATCAAACGCTTCATTAAGTGATAACAGTCGTTTGTTATCAATGTTTATCCCATAATAATCTAAACAAATATCACTTAAGTTTTACTCAGTAAATGAATTAGTATTTTTTAGCATTTAACTAGTCATGTTTATTGATGTGGATCATATTCTTATTATTATTATCCAGAATTACCAGATGAACAGGCAGAATTGAGAAACGATATGAAACTTGAATCAAAATCTCATCTGCCATATGGAGTAAGTTTAAAAAAATTATCAGTTTATTTCCTATTTGTTTAAAGAACACTTTGTATACAAATTAAATTTGTGGTCAGATACGGGATAGAGATATCTAGGTTACCTTACATATATATTGATAACATTGTTTTCCAAACAATTTCCTGGGGTATCTAGAAACATATTTTTCTCTACCTTACACTTATTTCGTCACCTTATATTGTGATTAATTTACTTCGTAATATTCAAGAAGCCTCCTGTTTACTCTGTGATTAGGAGTTTTTGTGGTGTTTACAGTAATCGGTGCCAAATGGAATCAATCTCCATGGATGTATTTCTCCGAACCAGGTCACCAAGATCTATCACCTTACTTTGAACTACCTTTTCCGGTTACTCTATCAGCCCAAATGTGGTTTAACCTCACCATGGGGCTGAATGAGGATCCTCATGAAGATACAAACCATATTTACGATTTCAGTATGAATAAAGTATTTATTAGCTTACATAACTGACATTTCATTGAATAAGTGTAGTGTCTGGTAGTGTGATTCATGGTGCGTGTTGCTTTCTAGTTGCGACTCGTTAGCTGAATGTATCTGCATCCCAGCTTTGATGCCTGCTCTGTGACTTGAATGCATTACCTTTCACTTCTGATGGCTAATTTGTTACCCACCGAGCTACTGAGATCAGATAGCAATTTATTTGTCTAACGAAGATGAACTGAATTGCTTATTTGTAGGTACCCGAATCTTCCCGATATTTATATCAATGACTGAATTGTGATTAGTCTCTTATGATACTTGTGCATTGTACAGATACATCCAGCTAACGAGTCCGAAGTTGAACGAAGCGCGAACCTTGAATTCCACTGCTGGCTCTTATCCATGATGATTTTATTACTTATGACTTAATGAGGATATCGAGACAATCCTCTTGAGATGCACGTTTGCTAAAATAGACTAATAAAAGTTCAGTCTTTAGCATTAACAACGAGAGGTTTCAAGCACCGACAAATTGCTAATTAAACAATTGTGTTTCAAAGGTGTAATTACACTCAATGACCACCTGCCAGTTGATATTAATATGTTATGTGGGGCTTTATTTCTATAATCATGGTCAGAATTTCTATCATTTGAATACAAGAAGTTAGATGATATTATCACAATGTTTCATAACTATCCTTATTTTTCATGACATCTAATGAGATATATTTAGCAAAACGAGCGGCATTCGTTTTGTTACAACCTAACGGCAAATTTTATTTTACCATTCTGAAGTCCTATACTAATAAAGAATGTCGTTTATACACATCAATATGGAGAGATCACGATGTTCACAATAGTTGAATGTCGTAGTTACTTATATGTTTCTATGAGGACGATCCACGGGTGAACTCGAAGAAGCGCTAAGAAGCTCAGAAAGAGCCGATGATATTCCACCCAATTATCTTTTGAAAGAATATTCCAGAATCCCTACGTGTAGCTTCCCTATTGGACAAATGCTAATAACCCCTTGTGTGCGGATTGGATGACTATAATGATGATTTGATATTTACTAAAAACTCAATAAACACGCATAAAGGTTTGTTCCAATATAATAGACATCTGTTTGGAGTAAAGGCCACCCCTTCAAACTTCCAACAAATTATGGACACTGTTTGAAATAACATTCCTTTCACTTGTCTTCTGTCTTCTCATTTGCAACTTGAGAGTGTTCTAGCGTCGATTTCTCAAGTTATACGCGACATATTAAGTATCTAAAGCTCTAGATATAACAGTTTCTCCTCATACAGAGTTGAGATTCTACAAACATATATATATATATATATATATATATGCATTTACTAAAAAGTAATGAAGAATAAAGTTTGAATAATTTGTTATACATGTATAAATTGATAGTTAGTTATCTGTGTTATTCCTGGAGTACAGGAAATCAGTCAGGAAATGTGTATAAATCATCTCTAACTACTTAGTATTTATTATTGTAATCCCGTTATAATAAAAATTTCTGTCTACATATGTGGTAAATATATATTAAGTAATTAATATTAAGATTTATTATATTCATGAATCATTAACTCATGAATATAAACGTTCAATGTCATATATTTTTTGGAAATTGAGATATCATTAGGGATTAGAGAGACTGATAGATCCTAGGTTCGAATCCCGTGAAGCGGAGTTGTGAATGCGCACTGCTGAGGTGTCCCAAAATAGGACGGAACGGCTGTCCGGTGCTTCCAGGTTTTCCATGATGGTCTAGCTTCAATTGACTCATGATCTCAACTATTGAGATTAAATATAAGTTAGGAAACAATTGAACATTTGACTTTTATATGAAACTTGACATTAGTGAAAAATCATAATTTTATCGCATGGTAACGTCTCTGACTGTGAAGCTGGATGACGTGGGATAGAATCCGTTAGAGAGCACCAGTTCCCTCAAGATTACAGGTACACCTTGCTGACGAGTGCCAAGTAGCACGAAATCCGGGTCCAGGGTTTCCTGTTGACTACCTCCAACCACCATCTAATCTCAACATAGTGCTTGCAATGTCAAGTCACCTAGACTGGTGGCTACATTGCAACTCGATCGATAGCATTCGATCTGCACTAAGAAGGACTTGACACACATGACATTGATCACCACCAAGTGATCAATCAATTATGATTACAAGTGATCTCTATTTAAATGAATATCTACCATATTACATGGTTAAATTTAGATTTCAATTTAGTTGACACCCTTTAGCAACGCCAACTTCTAGTCTTTAAGAAACTCATGTTTGCTGTAGGATTCAAGCTAGTTTTATCCAGTTTCACAAACTCAAATGTTAAGACTGAGTTGTTCAGACTTTGCTGATGAGCGCCGATTAGCTAGATTTTATCTCCAGGTATTAATTGCTACTCCTTCAAACAGCAATTTAGCGCACATGAAATAGAATCATATAGGCTAGTGAGTACATTGGAACTTGACTGATAGAATTTGATCAACACTAAAGGAACACATAAACGTGACACTTGTTACTACTCAGTGAGAAGTCAACCGTGAATTTCTCCAATAAATCATAAGGATATTTTTAGCAAATAGAATCTTTGTTTTATAAAGTTTAATTTATGATGCATAACATCACATACGATATGACTAAATCACATATATTACCACATTACTACTAAAGACATGTTGGTTACACAAAAATTAGTGATAGATTAAATTCATCAGACGAAATTTAACTTCTAGTTCTTCGCCTAACAGAGTTGACAAGATGACTGGTAGTTTTATTGAATAAACACTCAATAGGACTACATTATAAATTTGATAATAATTAATTCATAAATTTTGACTGTTTCTGAATATGAATTACACTTAGCTGTAGAAAATGATACGAGAGATTTGTGAAAAATGGTGTGGAATGCATTGATTATATAAAATGGCATATTTAATCACATTTTATTTAAGCCATTAGTTTGTACTATGATGAGCGACTTAATGAGTTACAGGTCTGATGTAGGAATGAATTCAAGATATCCCAACACTGATTCGCAAGTGGTCAATGGTTGAATTCGAATACATTGAACCAAACAGTAGTTGATATAAATAAGTCAATAATTCAACGTATGTAAACAATCTACAGTACCAAAAGATAACATAGTATAACTAACAGATATAATTAAATTACCGAGATACGGTTTTGCTTCTTTCTGACAGTTAAATAGGTTGATCAACACCAGCTATTTGATTTCAATGGCGAAAAATTCCGTTCAAATTAAATTATGACAAGAGAGTTTTCGTTATATCTCAAAATGTTCGTTTCGTACACTCAATAGGATATTGAACTCGACAAATGATGTTTATTGGGCTATAAATGTGATTAAGATCATGAGTCGATTGATGTTAGACCATCATTGAAAGCCTCGAGGCAGCAGGAGGCCGTTTCATTCTGGTATGGGATTCCTCAGCAGTGAGCATCTGCGAACGCCTGACCCTTAAATTACTGAGCCGGCATCCAACGGTATTATTGTCTGACCTCAGCCAATACACGAAATTGCGCAACCATCTTCCACTGTACTGAAGTAGGTACCTGTCTCTTCCTGACATAGATTAGCTCCACTGGTCTCAATCAAAAACTTAATAATCTCCACAATCCCATAGTGATAAATGTGATTAAATTATTCAATTTTCACTGGTGCAATGTGCAAACAGAATATTGAAATTTAGAAATAGTATGTATGCTACTGAAGTGCATTAAAGTAGTTTGAATGGATAATATATAATTCTCGAGTGTTTCAGTGATTACATATTCATTTGAAATCTAACCAATGATATAATATTTACTACATTACAGAAATGACCGTTAAATACACCATATAATACAAAAAGCCTTCATTATAATGAGAGTGCAAAATAATTCATGATAAATATATTTGGATTACAAATAAAATCAATTTCACTGAACTGTAATTAGTGAAACTCGAATAAACTGTAAATAAAACATATTCACTTGGTAATTGTTTACTTGAATCTTCCCACTGATGTTTAGGGCTGTAATTGACCATTCTCTATTGGCATGTGTGTATCCATATTTGCCTGTAATGCTTTTGAATTGAGGCAATACGCACAGGATGCACATATGCCAATAGAAACTGGTCAACTGCGGTCCTAAATAACAATGGGAATATACAAGTAAAACAACACCAAGGGAATTTAAACTTTACCCAATTGAACCAGCAGGTGGCTATCAGGACTCAGTAGTTAAGTATACAACGCGACGACGCTTGAAGCGAACGATACTGGCTTCGAGTCCCAGAGTGAACATCAATTCATATGCAGGCCTATCCAGCTGACGAGTACCGAATAGGACAAAGTGGCGCGCGTCCTGGATTCCACTGCTAGCCAATATCTATCTTTGCTTATAATGCTTGTCAATAAAACAGATAATCCAATAGAAAGAGATAGCAGTAATAAAAAATAAGACAAAGCAATATATCATTTAATAACAATAATTCAAATAGTATGTCACATTTCGAAGCAGAAACTATTAGATAATAATGAAAGCTTAATTTACATCTATATAGAATTTATATTGTTTTCCCATAAATACGAACCAAAAGCTCACAGTTCGTATATTTGAAGTAATGTCATGTAAAATACCCTGATATCTTAAAGTCTAGTTCGATGCTTGTTAATGATATAAAAATCTTTCCCTCAGTAGTAAATGAATAACGAGGATGAACAGTATTTGTTCTCAATTTATTATTCTAGACATTATATCAAGAATGATCCTCCACATATTGGCATAAACATTTTTCATCATGTGGATAGACGTGTATTTTAACGTGAGGATAGTAAATTTCAGGATATTTTCTTCACAAAAGGAGATTGTAAAAGCAACATGGTTACTGATGGTAGGAAATCAGTTACATTGTCTAATACATAAACTATTATATCGATACACAGAACTTCAAATAACTAAATTCATCTTTCATTTTACGAAGATTTTAGTGAATAAATCAATTCTTATCAATATTTTTCTACTCATTTTGATAGATTTTTACCTATTAAAAAGGTAGCCCAGTGAAATTGACATAGCTAGTATAACTCTGTCTTTAATATTTTTGAAAACAGATGGGTGGCTTAAATGTGAGTTCAAATTTCTTCCATTAAAACACAAATTCGAACCATGGTCCATCTACTTCGTTTTAGGCAAATGGATATTGTGTATAGCTTTCACACTTAGGCTGCAACTTAAGAAAAAGTATGCAAACATTGAAACAAAATTGAACGTTAACAACTTTATTTGAAATAAAAACACTGAGAAAATGGGAATATATAAATGCTAATCACAATGCTGATGCTAAAGTAAAGAGATCGTAGTAATACTTTTAGACACAATATTAAACTGGTAAACTAAATAAAAATGAGTAAACACATACAAAACCTTGTGTCACATCAGCCAATAGTTAAAAAAGTTGAACCAATTTAGCTAATTCATACCACATAACAGTTAAACTAGTTTATGTATATATATGTTATAGTCTTTTATTATAGATGCCTATTTTCACTGTTTAGGTAGATTTTCAAGGGTTTTTGTTTCAGGTAATCGCATATACATTTTCTATTCCTTTCTTTATTTTACAGATGACGAATATCCCAATTGATGGTAACATTCAAACCTATACTGGTCATGAGGAATTGGGTTCTCCAACACGTATTTTAACAAATAATGCTGTACTAAGTTATCATCAACCAACTATAATATCACCTCTTATTTCGGATCTTCAACAACCTCACCATCAACATAGTCATTCTTTATTAAATCACATGGATCACGCCACAATGAATATAAATAATAACAGTAGTACGTTTACTCCAAGTCGTCTACATTTACTTTCTAATACATCCATGGGAATTAGTCCTTGTGGTATATATAATAAACGAGATTCAAGTATACCACATGTTTTAAGTAATTCAGGTAAGCGTATGATATGACTTTATGTCTACCTTCTGTTTACTTATCTTCTTACTTTGGTCGGTAATTGCTTAACCATTTTGTTTAGGACAGTGAGCTCGCTTCATTATTAAAAGTTTTCAGCAGATTCTAAATTTTGATGGTACAACAATTCCGGTTCAGTGATATTAATATTAAGCACTCGCCGCAAGACCTGAGTGTTCTATGTTCAGTGCCCTATAGCAAGGTCATAAATGCGCACCGCTGATGAGTCTCATATTATAATGAAACAGCTATCTAATATTTCCTGGTTTTCAATGATAGCTTAATTAGTATCAGTCTGTGATGTAAATTATGAAAAATCAACAATCCTCATAAAACTTCTGTACTGAAAATACGATTTTATTTTAACTCACAAATATTATTGACAATAAACTGTTAGAAAAGAATATACAAATTAATAGAATTGTTTGAATTCACTAGGTGTTGTTTTACCTGTATCTTCCGATTGTTATTTAGGACTGCAATTGATCGGTTTCTTTGTTAGTATATGTGCATCTAGTGCTGATTGCCTTGATATAGCCTTAAGTCACAAGCTTCTTATGCAAAAATGAATAGTGGCTAGCAGTGGAATCCAGGACGCTCGCCATTACTTCCTATTCGGGACTCGTCAGCTAGACGTACTTGCATCCCAGAGCTGATGTTCACTTCGGGACTCGAATTGTTGTGAAATTTATATTTCACTCACCAATGTGCTTAAATTGCAAAAATATAGATTCTTAAATTTTAGAAAAATTGATTCTAGTCCAGTATATCTTGACATTGTAATCACAAAGATAATTTAAGCTAGAGAATTAGGTATGAGAAGAGCTTAGAGAAAATGTTTACTAAGAATTCATATGATACTTCATTGTCCCACACTTTGTCGTATGTTTTTACTTGGTGATAACTTGTAATTAGACAAAACTGAGTGGTCTACTTTTTATTTTATCTATAGAAGTTAATCAATTACTAACACAATCTTCATATAGACCAGCATCACCGGATTATCAAAGTTTAGATGCAATTTGGTGTCATCAAAATAAATTTCCTTCTGGTACAATGAATCTCATCCATCGTCTTCCTAATACTAATGCTAATAATGGTAACAATAATAATAATAATAATAATAATAATAATTCACAATTTAGTCCTACTGCCAATACTTCTACCAACATTAATCATCAAACAAATCGTATACAAGGAAATAATCGAAAACTATTACCAACTCATTATTCATTAGGTAATCCTGACAATAATGTCAATTCACAATTGAACAATGCACAACCAATGATGATGTCAAATGATTTTACAGAATCATCAATAATAACAACACCTCATGGTTCAAACATTAATACATTTTCACCACATGCCTACTATGAAATAGCTACACCATCAGAAACATGGCATAGAAGATGTTTACCACTATTTATTCCTAATGGGGATCAACATAGAATAATTGATAGCAATAATAATAACAATGAGACACACGTTAATTTACATGCACAAAATTTATCACATTCAACTAATAACCATCATTTTAACACACAACATTCCAGTAACAATAGTAGTCGACAGCAAACTCAACAAAGATTAACCGAACTCAATAGTCGTTCATATAATCATATAGCTACTTTAGGTAGACCAGCTAATGGTAAAGGACGTAGACGATTGGGTGGTACATCGACAACAGCTAATAATCATAATGACGATAGTATGTATAATTTACAAGCCGGTGAATTAGCTATACATTCAGTTAAGCGTTCAATACAAAATCACAATAGACAAAATGAACAATATAGAATTAAATCAGATGATAAGTTATTGAAATCACAAAATATAAACTTGACTAATGATAATAATGACAATCTTAATAAAATAGTGAGTAGTAATGTTTATCACGATAGTGATAATATTGGTGTTAGTACTACTAATAATAATAATACAACTAATAATAGTGGTAATATTGATGAACAAGATAATAAAAAGTCAAAAGATGGTCAGTTATCTGAACACAAAGCAAATGTACAACATTTTACATACCAAGCATTTCGTGAAGGAACATTCGTTTAATAATAATAATAATTATTATATATATATATATGCATCTTTAAGTTAAATATTTGGCTGAATTCACAAACCACTTACATATTCACATTATATAAACGATTGAGGATATAAGTTTTGCACATGTATGTACATATTCTTTACATCTTTATTACACTTGATATAAACAACTAGAAATCATCATTGAGCAATATCATTATTATCTTATTGAAAATTATCTAGATATGGGATTAAAATGGATAAATTCAGTAGAATTTATTACATAACAACATTACAATCATTTCTATTTGCTTTATTTCAATTGTATTGTACTTATTTATTAATTTGAGCAGTTTCTTCCCCCCCCTCCCCCTCATGTATTCATTTCTATGACTTTAAAAATAAACGAAATAGTATTATTTAGCTTGTGTTCAAATGTACGGGCAGAGTGAATTTCATTTGTTTATCTCTTGACTAATTTTTAATCAAAATCTGTTTTTGATTTCTTTCTTTTGTCAAAATAAAATATAAAAAACATTCATTTCGGTATATTGAATTTTGGTTTGATGAATTGATTATATTGGATGATTACAGTAGGATGTCTAGTTGAAATGTTTACCGACCTATTCCATCAACCATCTAACTATAAATCAAACAGTGATACATACCAAGTCATTTACAGTCATGGTAACATAACAATCTTAAAAATAGAGTTTGAACAATGTTAATGATTGGGCAAACATTAATTTGGTTATCACACAATAACTATTTATTTTATATATGAATAAGGGATCCACTTTACTATGATGAGGTTATTTTTTAATTTTGAAAATAATCAATAAATGTAGTTCATACTTTTGAAGATACGTTTGATGAACCGTTGACTAAATTAGTTGTTATGTGATCTGTATAACTGAGTGAATGGATAAGTTGATAACAAATTATCTGAATTGAACATCTCAATCGGTGTAATTCGTATCCAACGGAGTTTGATAAACAAGAAGATAGTAGGCAACTTGAGGCACCAGGGTGACAATGCTTAACAAATTTCGACTTCAAAAGCATTTGTACACAGTTTGAAATTATTTTGTGTACGACTTTATATTACTTTCTAATATTCGGTAACTTATTATTTACCATTATGCTAATAATCTGTTTACTGTAACATATGATTTGTATGTTAACAAGTAATCTTAGCATTTAATCAGTTTTGTTAATGTAATCTTACAACTTTATTGCCTTCAATACTCTATCTTTATTCCATTTGTGTGCAAAAAAGGTCGTTTATTAATGAAGGCCCCCATATTTAGCATAACGTAGTCATCAATTCAGTTTGCTCTTGCCAACATTAATTTTGATATAGCAATGTGAAATCATTCAATTCAACTACACACTTTCTCTTTTATCATTCCTTGAAGCATTAGATACCTCAATAATTAAGGTATGTATAGTGTATTGTCTATGTTTCAATTATTTATAATACCGTTTCTGTTGATACATCTCTTGTTATAATTTGAGAAAATATGCGCCACTCAGTCGTTTGGTCAGAATCATTGAACAGCTTCCATATGGTGAAATATTGAATTTGGAGTGATGAGACTAACTTCCCTCATCAGTTTTAACGTTACAAGATTTTAACCAGCATAAGAGTTTTATGTTGCTTCGATTGTCAGTCCTAGGATACGTTCTAATCTGTATAAATACTATTTTCACAACTGATAACCCATGTACCTAAATGTCTAGACACTGACATTCCAATTTATTAGTCCCAAAACAGTATACGGAATGCGGAAAATGTACATGAAACTTCACTTTGAAGGTTATTCTATACAAATCAGTATCAGGATATTTGTGAAGCTAAACGTAATCTGAAGATGTCAAGAGCTTCTGAAAAACAGGATTGGATTTTTTAATAAATTCGGTAATTAAAAAATCACAATTATGCATATCTACAACACTAAAACCAGACTTATCGATCCCGCTGCTGAGTAGTATCATAGTAGAAAAAATGGCCATCCAGTACTTGCAAGTTTTAAATGATTGTCTAATTTCGACCAGTTTGGAATTTTAATGAAATTCAACAACACCCACAACCCCTTACTGATAATAGTTATTTGTCTTAGAACAATTCATTATTTATGAGTAAATATTTCATAGAAACCATGATAGTCTTTTGACTTTATTCAACCTCAGATTTGTTGTTTTAGTAAATTCAGCAATGTCACATTCATTCAGTATATCATGTAGCATTCAGTTTGTTGTCGATTTGTATGAAATTTATTTTTGTCTTTTCTCATTTGGAATTATCAAATTTATTGATTTATCATCAAACACCTGAAAGTTCTCTGTAAAAATGAAGATATATGGTAGGTAATATGTGGCTATGTGAATAAAATCTCCACTTTCCATCAGTCTTTCTCTTCTATTAACTTGAGTTTTGAGAATTTCTATTTCTTGATATTAGTTCTCCACGGTTGTGTCATATATTATTAAAATGTACTTTGTATTAATTTTATTAAATCGATGAGCCAAATGTACATGAAATCACGATTTTCTTGATTGATATCTATCAACGAGTTTTTCATCATGCTTTGTTCGATTTACTCTCTTCTCATACATAGTTAGATAACAGTTCTTTTCTCCATAGAGAATCCCTTCACTATGAGGATAGACATGAAATTCTATAGGAAAACTGTGAATTAGGAAGTCAGGTCTTGAAGTTGAGTAACACTCAGTGATCGTTAAACACATATCTGTATTCATGGGTTTGATTAATCACATACAGATCCTAGCTGGGGTAACACAGGATTCTTACCTAACGTTTTTCAACGGTTAAAGGTTCAGTACAAAGTCTGAAGCCTCTGAGTTCATTTTATGGTAGTGTCACGAGTGTGCATTACTGAGGAGTCCCATACTAGGATGGTACAGCTGTCTGGTGCTTTGTGGTTTCCAATAGCACTTCAAACAAGGTACTGCCTATATTTGTACCCCTATAATAATCCGAAGTGGAATTAATGTTATGATATCCTACAAATATGACATACTAATGAATATGTTTGATGCGTTAGACCTTAACTGAAATGGACAAGGATGTATGATAAATTTTCAGCGCCCAATGACAGAATTCTACGTAATTATTGCATATTCATCTACATATGATCCACTGATGACGATAAATGTTTAACGTATCTAATGATCAAAAGTATCATAGTATTTCTGAGCTTATTTCATCGAATAGTCAAATGTCATCTGTTTATGGATAAGCCATAATACTAATTATTTTTATACAACGGGATAACTGCATACTTCAAAATCGTAAATTTTTAATTTTAATACAAATTGTTCAATTAAGAGTAATTATTGTTTAAACGACGTCTCAGATGCAATGATTGTTTATGAAATTATCTATCGCCCCTAAGATAATGATAGTAATATTAACGTCGAATAACTTAATTATTTATCAATGAAGATATTAAGATAATTAATATACGTCAAGTAGTTCGTACTGTTAAATGGTTAGTACAACTGACAGACCTGAATTAACTGATTACGATATATACTTTGCAGAAATCATGTGAAACTGATATTATATAACTGCAATGATACCTTGTAACAATTCCACTGATGTTTTTTATAATAAGGTGGATTCGTGGTTTGTAGTTTAATCCATGACGCCCATTTCGTCTTCTTCGGGACTCACCATCTGTACGTACCTGTATACCAGAACTTGAACCTAGTGCTTTTAGATCCAAACTCCTAACACTTTATCCACTTAGTCATCTCGTTTGGATGGTCACTAGTTTGTACAAAAGTAATATCGAGACAGTTCGCTTATGATATACATGTTTGATGAGGTTGATTGACTGCAGACCATATCAGTAACGGGAAGATTCAAACCTTTACAAAGGATGTAATTTTGTTATTTTTGCCACCATAACATTTTTTTAGGTCAAGTCAATCAGTTTGCGCCGCAAACACCATTTGGATACTTTCCTATCTATGTCAAAATATCAAGCTGTTAAATTAGTCGGACGTCTGATGTAAGTGAAGGGAGAGTTTTGCGGGTAGGAATAATAAAGATTACTCAGTCATCACTAGCATATACTTGGTCAAGAATAAGTGTATAAGGAACGTATTTATAATTTAGGCAAGTTTTGAGTAACTGATTATAACATTAAAAGTTTGCAGTCCCTTACAAGAACGACTAACAACACCAAACACTGCTATATTTAAAATGTTCACAAGAACGAGTTGGACGATATTTTCAGTCGTATCACTCTACTTACGATAGTCTCGATCAACCAATACAAAGTAATAACTACTCAACAAACGAAATTGAGTTCGACTTAATATCTAAGGCTGTCATTAGTATTAATACAAGAGCAACATTAGGGCTCCTCCAGGGAGGAAGGTGACCAGGCCTCTTTTCCTCTCGTAGTAATTTATGGACAGACCAATAAAATTAAAGACAACACGTCTCGGATTCCGGTGCAAAGTTCGTTTACCCATATGGCTATATAGCATCTTAGTTGATCTCAGTTCCTGATGTAAACCTTTACTCCAATTCCTAACCCCAACTTCTAACTCCAAATTCTTATCACAAACTACCCGTACTAATTTAAAACCCTATATTAAACCTATTAAGTAGGTGAGTTGTCGCAAGATCACTTAGGGTCGCTCAAAGGTCATCCGTATATTATAGTCTCACCGACCAAGTCATTGGGGTTATAAGTAGATTCCTAGGTTTAGAGGAATACTTTCTACTTTCTGTTAAGCAACTAAAATCACATTCCTCATAGATTTAATTACTGGATGTCGTGCGATGTATTCAAAGTGTACAAGGTCTTTGTACAAACTGTTGGCTGTAAACAACTATTTCCTATTCAGCTTAATCTTTGAATCCTGTTATTTTCAGCGAAAATCTAAATAACTCTATTGCTGTAATCGGCTAAAAGCATGTATATGTTCACAATCAACTCACTGAAACACCCTATTCAGCGGAAAAATTCACAAAACTGACAGTTAGCTGAATTTAATCCAATCTATTCAACTTATAACCGTTCTAAATCATACATAAATGTATGACTCAGTTAATGTACATATTACAGGTAAACACCAATAGATTAAAAATAACGCAAATCAGACCAAATTAACCGGATTTCTTTGTTCTAAATTGTCAAATATCTTGTATATCAACAGTTATGTTTTTTGAATGTCCATTAATTAGAGTAAATGCTTCAAAAATCATACATCAATATTGATTCTTTGTTAAAAATGGACTTATTTTGAGAGAAGAGTCAGGATACTTAGAGTAACGATTAAAATTACTTTACATAAATGTAAATAATTGCAAATTGTTCTTACTTATTTCTTAAGATGTTCTGAAAATTTTCGAAATTTTATCAGGAACTGTACGCATAACAAAACCATGCTATCTTACTTCATGTTGACCTAAATGATCTTTTAGAGTAGGCGATCTGCTACAGACAGGTCAGACAAACGAAGTAAGTCATATTTATAATACCACAATCAAATTTTTAAAAAAACAAAAGACATCAAGCAGACTTGATAAATATCAATGTTGCATATCCGATTCAGAAGATTGCTCTAACACAGCCAGCTGAGACCAAGTAATGCCTTTCAGTTATGGGAGGAATAAGATTTTTTGGAACAACTTTAAGCAAGAAATCATCATAGGACTATCGATGGAGACACACACCACCTTCAGGTTAAGTACTAAAACCCGAGTTGATAGACAAATTTGTCTAAGAAGCTGAAGTAAAACAAAACGTTGGTCAATACAGTGATGATTAATCTCAAACATTCCTATTCTTCTCAAGTTCCTAACTTACATACGCTAAGATTTTGAAAACCGTTGGTCAACAAGTGATTTGAGATACATAAAAGTCTATTTCAACACTTGTAAATCGAATTATGGACTTCAGTAGACATATCTAGTGAAAGTAGCAAAATTAGTGTGAATACAGGTCAACGAGTTACATACGAACAATAATCCATATATGGATGATAGGCTTATCGTGTTTAGGTATACAACGCGATATCTTGAAAACCAGACAGCCACATATCGTCCCAATGTCAGATGGAGATGAGAATTTCGTAAAAGACATGGTATGGAAAGAAGTATATTATACCTCGGTCAATGACCGAGCCTACGTGTCCTGTCTAAATCAGAAGAACAAATGTAAATATACTTATACTTTGAGTCCATTATAATTCGATTTAGTAATCATAGTTTCTAACTTACTTTAGTTTCTTCATTTGTCTGGTGAGTTTGATCTACCATAGGTACTTTATATTATAACTGGATCGGATAGCGGAACACAACAACAGAGTATCAATATGAATACAAAAACTGAATACTAATTCAGCAAAATTTCTGTTCCACCGACAATTTTCCTTCCAATAAAATTTTTATAGAACATTGAGGAATGGAAATAATAAGTTTTAATTCGAATAAAACAGCTTATGAAACAGAATTTTATAGGATAATAGAACACGAATGAATATAAATTTCAAAAGTATCAAAAGCATACATACATACGCAATAAAGAGTAAAAAAAACACAAAAAAAACTATTACCTATTTACATCATTTGAAAGAAAAATACAAAGTAAAACAGTAACCCAGAAAAGGACAATTCAATTTGTTCAAGTATCAATATTGACATGTTCAAATGTAATACCAGTAGAAAAAAAAAGTTGAGATCCTAATATGCTGAATAATCGATATTGATTCCTAGATGATGTCACAAAACGTACATTTAATCATTTATTATTATTATCTCTACCAGAGATTCCGTTTACAGTAAATACTTTGCAAAGTTTTATGTTTGCCTCCCTTTAGTTAATTGTTGTGTAGAAAAACTGATATCAAGCGGAAAAATCATGACAATACAAATTTCATTGACTTTAGAATCAGCATAACGAGTACACAATAATAATAATATTACTATTATTATTAGTAGTAGTAGTCGTAATATATAAAAACATTTTATCGCAGATAAAAATGCATAAAACTAGAAATAATAAATGAGAAGATAAGTAACTAGAAATTAATTGACTTTAGGATAAAATGATATGTGTTAAAAAAAAACACAAAAATGCAATACAAATAATTATTAAAGCAATATATGCTTAAAAAGCAAACAAATATAGACCCACTTATAATATGAAAATGATCAAAACTGAAATTTATGCTAATATGAACTTGGAAAATAAATGAATAAAAAAAGAAGAAGAAAACAATTGAATTATGGGAATGCATTGTTGTAAATGCAATCAATACAGAATACTACTATTACTACTATGATTATCATTATCAGTAGTATGTAGAGAAAAAAATGACAAAATTGTACAATATAAACAATGAGAACAGATATTATTGTGAACAATGAAATCAGAGAGAGAGAAGAATTCTTGTTTTCCTATACACGTTGACCGGGTATATGACCATGAAATGGTAAAGGAGATGATTTCCCATTATTACGCAAAATAATACAACCAATAAATACTAAAATTAAACCTAATGCTGAACCAACAGCTATGCCGACAACTTCGCCACTTGTTAAGCGCATCGGTCTTTCACCACCTAGAATGAAATTGGAGAAAAAGAAAGTTAGGATAAGGTTAAAAGTTTGCGATTTTTCTACAAATTGGGATAAAACCGAGAAGCAAAATAGCGTATTTAAACAGGCAATAAATTGTATCAGCTCTATCTCGGTCATAGAAGAACCAAGACTAATTCATTTTTATTGGTTGTTTAAATCTTCCCATTGATATTTTGGACTGCGATTGATCAGTTTCGTTTGGTATATGTGGATCCTATGATGATTGTCTCCATATTGCCACTAAGTCACAAAGATTCTTTAATCTGTCTAGTTAATGTTTTGCATATTCACTATTTAAGAACGTAACCGACTAACAGTGAAAAAAAGTGTCATGCAAACATGCTGTATGAAACGTGAAACAGTAAGAATGCAAGAAAGCAAACACAAAATAAACAATTTATAACTAACAAACATATTATGAAAAGTAGAATCTCACCAAACTAATTATCACATCATCAACACAAACAAAGCATCCCACTTAGCATTTGTGAAACATGCAAACATAAAGAGATGAGTCTTTTTCAAATGAAGTCATATATCAGTTAGTCTAGAATAAGCTGGAGAGCAATTTACAACAAACGTACGTCGCCGTACACGTTCTTGCTTGATTTCATTTGTAGTTATTTGATGTTTTTGCGGTTGTTTTAAATTTTCTAATTCATTTTTATCTAAATAAATTTTGATAGAGAAATACAACGAAATAGGATGCATGTTATGTATATACGCCGGTGGATTATGAACTGGAACACTCAATCTTAGAGATCCATAGAAGAGAGGAAAGGGAGAATATGAAAAAATCAAAGTAATTAGTTAAAATAGAAAATTATTGCATTTAGAATATTTACAATTTTTAGTAATGAATTGCAGATGGTTTAAGATAGTGGTCACTAATGAAGAATTATTGAGACAATTTATTATTGGAAATGCCAGAATGAATATTGTGTGATAAGAAAGTTTATATTTTGCATCAAAATTATATTCGCCAGTTGTGAATGAATAGTAATTTACTACAATGTAGTGGTATTAAGGTTTGACATAATTCGGATATATAGATAGTAATAAGGGACATCTCATTAATAACTAATAGTGGTAATATTAGTAATTGAATTCGTTCAGTGGTTGAGGAGATTAGTAAATTAAGAGGGGAAATGGTGAAAGACAGTCATATCAGCCGATGGAGCTATTGGATTGTTAGTCAAACTGATACTGTGATTATATGCTTCCTGAGATTATTATATTTTATATTTGGAAGCTATAGATGGTAATGCTTAAAATTCACAAAACAGTGCTGTAATTGTATTCACTTTCAATTTTGCCTTAAATCTCTCGCTTCCAAAATAATTCGAGTTTTTCTCTGTCAAATTTTATCTGTCTGTTCTGAACTAAATTTCCTTCATTTTACATTACTCATACTACTGATATTAAACTAGTTCTGCCTGTTAATTTCCTATTTCTAGATCATATAAAATGTAGCAAGTTAACCTAAATAAACATTTGTGTCAGGTTTTAAGTTTTTTTTTAACTAACTGATCCAGATGCGGTATAATTAAATTTCGATTGAAGGATAAGGTACACGAATAATATAAAACAATATAACATCTGTAAGAAGTGCTGAAACACCATTTTCAAGTCTACAGTCCTATTTGATTAATGGATTTTATCAGATATAATTAACATAGAGCCTGAAAATAAATAATGTGTTGATCCAAGTTATTATGTCATATTAATAATACGAGAAAAAATCAACAAGACCAATATAACAAAAGGAGTCCGAATGATTACAATAACTATGATAAGGGAGAAAGATTGAACACTGAAATAGAAAGTTATGCTTAGAGGATTACTAAGACTCAAGATCTAGAGGAAGATAAAGAGTGAACAACTTTACGCTACACTAACCGTTTCTGAGCCATATTACATAGTCTATACGTAAAAGAAAAAAATCCTTTTATGATTATAATGTACGAACACTCAGGTAGGAACAACGTGTTTACTGTTTGATAAAAAAATTACAGAAAATCTTCGTAAAATATGAAGATCATACATTAACTACTTCATTTGCAAATCTCTCAATAATTTTTCATCATATTCTGTATGATTCTTCCAATTCACGATTCCTCTCTATTTCCCTTTCTTTTTTCTCCAACTAGATCCTCTTGACCTTCTGCTGCCAGGTTTCTCACTTCCGACCGGTGTTACATACTGAGAAATCAGTATGAATAATATACATTCAGTTTGCTATTTATAACTTTGTTTGCGTTTACAGTAGCTTATTTACGAAGTACAAATTTGTGCATATGCAGCTTTGAGCCATACTTTATATGTAAGAAAGTGATGTGATCCAATTGTCGAAACTGAATTAAGTATGACAGAGTTTGGAGCTACTAATTACCATCTGAAAACAGACGAGCCTAAAGTGTTTGAGAAAAATGCGAGCATTACTTGAGATTAACGGAAGGAAACTTTTTGTATAGAGTGTTCACAACATTAATCCTTGTCATCTTAGAGTAGAAATGACAGCATTAAACGTATAAAATCCTTAATACTTTCTGTAGATTTTATATAACAGACAAATCGGCATAACCCATAAAGTCCTTACTCTAAGTTCTTAAAAAAAACGTAACTCAATGTAGTATTACATTTTATGGATAAAATAGATAAAGATACCGCCTCTTAGATTTTTTCGTGAAATTCATTCACCCATATGACCGTAAAGCATTTTAACATAGTAACTGTTAACAGTTTGTAATGAAAACTCTAAACAAAAACAATACAGAGAATCTCAAAAATCTATATGAGTCTTGATAAAGATTCAACAAAATGGGTGATATCCATCTAATTATATACGTATACACATTTATACTTGTGCATGGAAGTATTATATATATATATATATATATATATATATATATATATATATATATATATATATATATATATATATATATATCACCGTTTCTTTATTTACAGTCACTAGCAGGAGACTTTAATAGATGTATAAAATATGTAAAATCTATTTACACATTGTAATTATTATTTTCTTTACTTTTCCATAAACTATACATTTATAAAAGCCGTTTTATGATTGGCCCGGAACTATATGAAATCCGTTCAGGTTATTTTATGCTCATACTTCCTACCAGATAGTTATGATGTATTATGTCTGTATGAGGGTAATACATATAAAAGAGTGACACGTGAACGAAAAAGACGCTCTCCAATTAGATCATTATCAAGTTTTATTCTCATAAACATGAATATTTATATGGGTATTAGAAAATACCAAATCAATCAAAACAATTTATAAGTCAGTAATTACAATGAAATGGATTACGCAACTATACATAATCAGTAGAAAGTGCACATTGAGAGTAAGAGGACAGGTGTAATGATAAGAATTTTATATGTATATATTATTATTACTATTATTTGACTAGTTACACACTTCTTGTGACGTAACATTATTAATGTTTTGTGATGATTATTTTAAAGTCTTTATCCAACTTTGACCTACTTCGTATGTTTAACTATTGACTGGACCTTTTGTTATTTTTTATCAATTTTAGTAGTACATGTCTTTTTTTTACATCAATTTGTACTTTTTACTTATAATGTGTAATCTATTTCATTGACTCATAAATTACCTTGATATAAGTGCATATTACATTGATATTTCTACAACAGGAGAGATTTATACTACGGGAATTACACGAATAATTAACATTATTTTCTTTCTTCCATGTCCCTCTCTATTGTTGTCATTTCTTTCCATGTCAATATTGTTCAATCAATAAATTATGAATGGGATATTGAATAAGAAAAAGAGAATTCAGCGAAGAAAATTTTCTTTTCGACGAAATCATTTACTTAAGCTGTACATTCTGGGGTGTGTTAAGGACAAACTTTCGCTTTGGGCCACTTCAATGTGTATCTATAAATTTACTTGCTCATGTGGGGCATGTTACATAGGCCACACAAAGCGATCATTATCCAAACGCATCTCGGAACATTATCCGGCTTGGCTTTTGAAAGGGGAGCGAAAAACAATCACGAGTTCTATACAGGAGCACTTAATCAACTGTGGACATATCGCTCCAAAAGACTCTTCGTTTAAAATAGTTTACAGAGTCAAAGGAACTGGATCGAAGGGGGTTCGAATCAATATTTTATGCACCGCAGAGGCATTGGCAATCCACAAACTAAAGCCTGAACTTTGCGTGCAGAAACGATTTGTCCAATATCTTATCCTTCCCTGGCCTTAATGGGTATGTTTCTAGGTGTGTTTTTTTAATGCACTTTTATTATTATCCATATTTTAAATCACTATTTTGCACTTTAAACTCTAATCATTTATTATTATTACCTTTTACAAGTTTTCTTGATTATCATGCACATCGATCTTTCATTATCAAGTTTTTCATCCTTGAACTTGAACTTTATTTATTCCTTCATATCAATCTCTCACACATACATACATACATACATACACACTCACACACATACGATTTGTTACTCAGTTAAGTATTTCCATGTAGTTGAATTCATCACATGATTTGTAGTCAACTGACTCATTTTATCCTATTTTACAAAAAATCAACACCCAAATATGATTGGTTTAACACAGTATAATCCTGATTGTTAAAAAGCTATATATTTCTTTGATAATTTTGATTATTACCCTGAAGAAGTCCAGACAAGTTAGTTGGACGAAACGTTGGAATTAGTTATATTTCAATCGCTGAGAATATTTCAAATATAATTTTCACATATAACGACTTCTCTATACTCGGCGCTCAATTACTGTCAAACTATTCGTTCTAATCTAGACGAATATTCGTATATTGATTATCATTCAGTTTATTATTATGACCTTTGTTGTTTTGTCGTTTTTCTTCATATCTGTCAATCTGTCAATTGGACTATTATCTGACCCTTAAATTTTGTTCTTCCTTACCCCTTGATTAGTACGTTAACCTCATTTGTTATTTATTGTCGAATCCATTTTTTGTGATACAATCCTTTCTATCCTTCTATAGACATACATTTTCCATAAAACTATATATACGAATGTACAGCTTAAGTAAATGATTTCGTCGAAAAGAAAATTTTCTTCGCTGAATTCTCTTTTTCTTATTCAATGACACTATGGGTTATTTGAATGGGATATTATTATTTTAATATTATTGATTTTAATTTAATTAATTAATAACTAATTCTACTAATGTTAATGTTGTTTTTTTCAAAAGGGAATAATCAAATTAACACTGATCAAATCTATATGAATGAATCTAATATTAACATTGGTTATTATTGATATTCATTTTTAACAAATAGAAAATAGAAAAATTGTAGAAATTTTGAATAATTAAACTGAATTAATTTCAGTAACAAAAGTGGAGAACTTGATTTCTCAGTGTCATTATTATTATCTATGTCATTAGAACATAGAAATAATGTGAATATTGGCGCCAAGTTAAATTGATTAGTCTATTGAAAGTTATATATATATATACATATAGTGACATTTTAAACAAGCATCACCCTAGTGAATAGAGTATTATACATTTATGTATAACAATTCACAAATGAAAAAAATTGGAAAAAGACATCATATTACTGGACAACATTTATTCAATTTAAAACAAAATGCATATAAAGAAATCATTGTTCCAATGTTCATTAAACTGCAAATGTAAACTACTACTACTACTACTACTACTACTAATAATAATAATAATAATAATAATAATAATAATAATATATTAGTAGTAGTTGTAGTAACGGTACAACTAATATTAATTTAATTATTGTGACCTATTATCCAATATTAGGAATTTTTTATAAAAAAAACTTACTAATGGATGAGAATCAAGAAATGAGAATAGCGAATAAATTCATCAAAATAATATTTCTAATTTTGTCCAAAATCCTAGTTTACAAAAGATTATATTCTCACTTAAAGTTTTAAACCATACATAAGAAAATGATTCACATGATTTAGGAATAAACAATAAACTTGAAGAATACACTATGTTCTTAAATTGACTCTATTCATAAGTGAATAAATAGATAGTATGCCATTTTTATAATTCTTTAATAGTTTTATAATTTATGGCAAATGAATATGCTAGTATTGAACATCAAGACTTCAAGATGCCCTAGTAAGGTCAATTACGGATAAGATACCTTCAACCTCTCGATACATTCAGGTGATTATAGCCTCTGGTGGAGAAATATTTTTATGAGTGACAGGGCAATAGGTGAATGTTAGGAATTGGAGTTGGGTTGGACCACCTACAATGGTTAGAAAACTCTGATTCCAAACCAATGTGTTCTACACAGACACTGGGATCTTAAAGAAACGAATGGCATATGGACCTATCTTAGTCACTGGGTAACATAGGATTAGATCATCCGACGTTGTTTCGCTGCCTAATGAATCAAACCACTGGGTTAAAATTCCAGGGAGTATCCAAACCCGCACACAAATATGTGAATCGATAATTATGAAGAAAGTAAACCGTTTGCTCCTCTTTGTTACCAACTCAAACTACACTGAGGATAACTCTATTACAAATGAAATGATTTTACTCTGCTTAAATATCTTATGGCATTTTATTTCCAACTTCGGTATACTTTTATTCTCAAAAATAGCTCAAAAGGTCGTATTTGTTGAAACTTTTGTTGTGCTTGCTCGGTTTCAGGTCGCTGAATGATGTTTCTCAACATATAACCTGATACAGATTTTGTCAAATCAAGTATGCCATTTAGACTAATACACCTTAAGTGAGAGTTCTTTTTGTGTTGTTGTATTTCTCACTGATCTGTATCTCTCCAAGTACATGCTATTCTTGCTCATTTTACTTTTTATTGTACTCCACTTTACCTGCTTTATTCCTTCTCCGATATCATCTTTTGTTTGTGTTACGCATACTTTTATTTGTTGCCCTCAGTAGTACTTGTTTGTGTATAATAAATGAACTAGAAGCACCTGTTCAACGAGGGTCAAATACAAAATTATCTAGGAAAACGTTTGATATGAATGTAGGATGAGCTTAGCTGTAAAATGTATACACTAAAATCCCCACCACAAATTTGTGTTTTCAAAGGACAGACAGAAAAATTAGGCATTAATTTAAAGGTTTATTATCATAGGTAAACATTATATGATTATTCGTTAAGAAAATTTTTCATATTTCCTCAAAACGTATATACCATTGAGTGATTCAATACTCTGTGTGCCTGTTTGGCACAGCTTGTAATGAAAGTGTCCTATGGAACCTAAGTTTCACAGAAGCTGATTACATAACATATTCAGTTGTAAGGAATCTACTTTTTAAATAAAAAGACATATGTACATATCTGAAAATGAATGAATAGTGGGAATTTCTTCGCTTAGTTTATTTAACATATTTATAGGTAAGAAAAAGCTCTATAAAAAGATACCTACCAGCGCATAATATATAAACATTTCGTGTCAATAAAGTATCTTTATATTGTGGTCCATTCACTGAACATTGAACTTGATTTAAACCAATAATATCTAATTGTGAGCAATGAACATGTAAAGTTGACTTAGTAGTTGTCATACCAATTGTATTTGGTGAATTACTACAAACATTTTCATGAATTTTATTTGGATTCGTGGGCATAATTGCTTTAGTCATTGTCTGAAAATACAAACAAAATCATTCTATATTAGATGATATACAAAAAGAAATATTATTTTTGATAATAGGAACATGTTTCATAATAAAATGAAATAGACAAACAAATCAATAACGATTGAGTGATATTTTAGAATGTAGTATATTGTATAAACAGAGATTTATGATGTAACCCATTTATCAAGTATAGATTTGTCTACTTGGATTTAAACCATATTTAATGTTTGGACAGTAGTGACACTATGGAGCTTCCCAAATTGAAGTAGGTGAAGAAGGACTTGAACCTGCAACCTAATGGTCGAAAGTCGAACACCCTTACTGCTAAGCTATCGGGAACGGTGTGAATTTATAACACAGTTTATAACTTCAAAGATCTTACCAATTCAATTGTGTTAATAAATTTTGACAAGATAATTCAGATAGTAGGAAGTGAACAAGAAGTGGCCATATATAAGATTTTTCAAGAATTATTCAGCCACTATCAAGACACAAAAGAGAATTATACGTCGTTATTTATTATCTATACGTACATGTGCCTGAGCTGTCACTTGGTAATCATTTTAGATGAAAGGTTTTTGGAGATTGATTTGGCTTATAGGTTGTATACATCACAAATTGATCTCGATTGGGGTATTATTAGAAACGAGGAAGCACTGGAGAGTGGTACCAATATAAGACGTGAAGTTCCCAGGTTCGATCCTTGATGAGGTTATGGGTAAGCACTACAAGGATGTCCTCAACTGAGGTCAGTCTGTGACGGATACAACCCAGCAATTAAACCAGTGTCCACAAAACGTTTCCAGTTGAAGTATATATCCAATTTACTTGCTCACATGCATCTACCCAATCTTAAATGAAACGAAACATTTTCTGTACGAGTCAAATAACACTTCTGTAACTTATTTGTAGCTATATCAGTTGTTCAGCCAATCGGTTGTTCATTTAAAGAGAAGAATTTAAGCAACCATGATAACAAATAAACGAAAATAACAGATTTATGTACGGTTGTGGGTATGTGATTAAAACCATGGTAGTTTAAGGAAAGGGATACTACTAATTAATAGCTGAGATAATTTATACTAAGAATCATAAAACAACTAGATTCATTTAATTACTTGGAAGTCAATACAGTTTTCTAGTCATTTATTGTAATGATAGGAACACGCTGAAAGAAATCTGAGGCTTGTCCAAACCAGTGTTACATCAGTCCTCGAAATCAGTGGCTATTGGTCAAAGCTACATTAGTAAGCCCATGATTGAGCTCCATGTGATTAGTTACAGAGATTAGGTGAAGTGATTCAAAATAGGTTACAGTGACGCGGATTCATTCAACTTTTGTGCACCCCAGACCTTGAAGTATAATTTCTTCTCCTCGAAGCACTTTCTCTGTCCAATATATTTAACTATCGTTAGTACTTATACTTCTAATACTCTGATACTCACCCTGCTTGTTTTATCCCGCTGTGTTGATGTGATGTGGGATCTTAGGTTGGTTGGTATTTGCACCAGTTTCTTACGTTGTTTATGACCAACTAACCGACTGACATTAAGAACTGGTATCATTAAAAGTTGTGATATTGTAATTGTAGAGGGTTTAAGTGAACTATGTGATTAACGTAGGCCTGTTGTTTTTGAAGGGGGTTCATTAAAACTGTTCCGTTGTGGGTTAAAATCTACTATATAAAGGCTGATTAGTATCTATCATATCTTATGTAAACGAATTCGGGATAGCCACGTTCATTAGATACCTTCTCAAAGTGCTTTTAGTGACAGATAGGTTATCAAACATGAAAACGAAGCAATAGATCCACTAATTACGTGGTTTGTAGGCCCATTTGAAAGATTATATCTCAACAAAGTAAGCTTTAAAACCAATGGCTACTTGTAAATTAATTTGGGTTTTAAGAATTTACCTTTATTCCATTTACGATCTTACATAAAACATTTAAAATATACGAAAAATGACTTAAGTTTTTGGTGGTATTTTGAGATATCTGGAGAGACTGATTTTATCTTGGAAAAATGCCACTATAATATATGTTAACACTTAATAACCAGAGCCGTTAAATAAAAGCAATCAACAATATAGTCCTTGTTTAGGATTACATAGACAACAGGTTGAACCACACTGAAATAAGAAACTAAACCGAATTCCTCACATGGACCTACAAGGGGCGACGATTCAAATAATTGTAGTCAATAACTGGAGATGTTAGGTGACATGGCCTAAAATCGGTCACAGTGGCACAATTGTACTAATTGTTTCTCATCAACAAATCATTGCTCGTTTATTTTGCCATTGACTGAATAATCACTACCACTTGAAATACTTATGGTGTTTTATCACTTATTGTTTTCAAGCATACAGACCAAACATTCATATAAATAATAAGAATTACCTCATTCATGACTAGCCAAGTTATATTGGCTCGAGGATGTCCACAAGTTGTTTCACAAGTAAGCTGAATTCCTAGTCCTGAACGTAAATCATACGGATTAGTCCGAGTGCCTAAGCCGATATGTTGACTAGGTGGTGTGCCAATGATAGATAAAGCTGAATCCAATCCAGCCGTAGCCAAAGACGATGAAGATGATAATTCTGAAGGTGAACTGGAGTCTTTGATCATACTTTCTTTGTTTGTCACAGGCAGTGATGTTAAACTTGAAACACCCATCTTTTCCAATTTAGCTGGTGCTAAGAAAATTTTTAAAAATATTAACTAACAAAGTCCCAAGGTATTTACACTGCGAAAACTTTCGTAGTTAAAAATTCCATCTGAATTCGCAGTTGTAATGTATAAGAACAAAAATATAAATATCAATATATTGATAAATACATCATAATTTACAATTGATTGATCACTGGGTAGTGATCAATGTCAGGTGTGTCAGGTGTGCAGATCGAATTATATCGATTAAGTTGCAATGTGGCCACTACTCTAGGTGACTGGACATCACGTGCACTGTGTTGAGATGAGATGATGATTGGGGATAGTTGAAAAGAAATTTGTAGTTTACATTACGGATTGACCTTAGTTAGACAAGTATTGGAAAGTAGAAAGCACAGGAGAGTCGTTTCGCCTTGCTATAAGACTCAAAAGCAGTGTGCATCTATGACCTTACAATGTTAGGAGTAAGGCTGCTATGCACCAATAACATTAGATGATGGTTGCTATCTAATATTTCCTGGTTTTTAATGGTTATCTAACTGCGATGTGTTTATAATGTAAATTATAACATTAAACTATCTCCGTAAACAGTCTATACCAATAAACCCACCATATCTCTTAACTTCTGTAACAAGCACAAAAAATCAAATGAATTCTTAGCTAAATGAACCTCAAATTCGCCTTCTGTGCGACAAGAATATATAATCTTTTTGTAACTTTTAGCCAGTGAACAAATAAGAACAGGATGAAACGCGCATCTTGGATTACAATGCTATCTACCATCCATCTCTGTTCATAAAGAATAGCATGGTTTTAAGTAGATCTGTGAAGGATTTTGTTGACTTGAACTTAATTTTCATTAATTTTAAAGCGACATTCAGAACAAGCATCCATAGAAGTTAAGATTGGCATTTTTGTTTCATGGCATTTGAATATCCAAACCACTGGTTTTGTCCAGCTAAATAGAATTTCATCATCGTCACTCTTAAGCTGTAGTTTTACGACCCCAACAGCTTTCAACAAGTAAGGGAGAGTTATTAGTGGACTATTGTTTGTTTGAGATAGCTAGGGAGATATACAGATACATGATCTTGAGTTACCGCTACTGATATAAACTTGAGGTATATTTTATACTAATCAGGAAGTCTGAGTTATTGTTGGTTCTAGTATCAGGTTTCCAAATTAGCTATTCAACAAAATACGTGCAATACTGATAACAGAAATGAAATTATCACAAATTTATACATAAATTTAAAACGATTGTATGTAAAAATGTTCTAAAAACCAAGTCGCTGTAGCTTACTGCTTTAGGTACTTTCAACTTTTGGTCAGTAGATAACCCGACTATATCTGGTACTTTGATATATCAGTTAGGCTTGGAAAACGTGTTGGCCCAACTGAGCAATGTTGGCTAGAACACTTGTTCGTTGTCATCACATAGCTATGAGATGAAAACTACAATACACATAAAATTGGATTTCAGAGTCAATGGATAGTGCATTCAAACTGTTCTTATCACAGAAACTTGGTAGACAGACATTTCGTTCAAATACTGCGTTTTAACTATAAGAAATGAGAGAAATTCCTTATAACTTACCATATACTTCAAGAGTTTGTATGGTTTTATTTGCTGCATAAGTACACGACCAATTACCACGATCTGCCCAAGAAACCGATTTAATATGTAATTCATAAGTTTCGGCCCTTTGCCAATCATCTGGCTCACATATTAGGTGGTACTTTTGTGCTTCGTACACGAAACACTTCTCTGAGATTAAGTTTTCTTCATGCCGAAATAACATTGCATATTTTGTTGAAAGTCGTATTACTTGTATCTGACACCTCAAAATTACTTTTTGACCAATAAGTACTGGTTGGTTTGCTGGGATTACGGATAAACTGAATTTCGCAGAATCTGCAATAAATTGAAATGAAATATCCCAAGTTTGAGTAGAATTTGAGTGTGTGCATGAACATTTAAAGCTTTCGATTATCTACGCATTTACAATAAACATATGCCACACATAATTCACGTATGATTTCTACGGAGAAAAACCTTCGAATAGCGAGAATTCAGGGTGAAGCGTGGAATTCGGATTACAGGCATTATGAAAACGTTCATCTTATAAAAAACATGACGTGCAACATATTCATGTTTGTTACTCCACAACATGCATTCAAAAACTAACTATTCTAAAATGAATATGTCCTGAGGTTAGGATTGTTTCTTTTTCTTAGAACTACTAATGTCAACAGAAACATCAAAAACAAAGAAACATTTTGGTACGTCTGAGTTTAGTGGGAATCACTATGGAATGGGTGCATTATTCAAGTTTTAGTCACTTCACAACAACACTTTGGGTAGCTGGAACATGTGTAATTTAGAATATAATAGTATGAACACATGAAGATGGAATACTGGTGTTTAAAAAAATATACACCAAGTTAATGTCTGATAGTATATCCCGATTTCCTGGTGGAACTTGAAGATCTTATCAAACCCACCGATTAAAACATTTAGATACTGTTGAGAATTTAGGTGATTAAACACCTTGGTGTCTTATTTTTTTAATATCAAATGAGTCTTCAGAATGAAAATAAACAAGGGTGAAACCTAAAACAAAGCTGGGTGCGCAAGATCAGGCTCAATGTTAATATTTAATACCTATAAGACATGGGTGACACACTTAAAAAAAACTGGACCACTCTACCTACTTTTATAACATTAACTCAATATTATAACCATTTTTATGACCATTCATAATGCTTGCTTCTTACCTGATTTTTCTATAAAGCATATAATTAACAAAATGAGATGCAACATTGTATTGAACTACTAGCCAGAATGCAACCAAAGAGAGGAGAATTGAGATGAAAAATCTGCTGAGATCAGGTAAGAATCTAAAATTTAAGATAACAAAATCAAAGAACGAATAAAATACTTCATTAGGTAATAGAGATGAACTACATGAGGAAACATGACATGTTACGATAAGTGTGAATTTTACGTTGCTAAATCGACGGAGAAGCATGGATGTGAAAATACACATATTTAGGCAGAAGTCAATTAAATGTGAACTATCAAGGGTAGCTAATTGCCGCTTAGTAAGGCAACAATCTGGAAATAAGTTCCAAAACCTAAAATTTAGTATTACTATACAACATGGAAGTGAACGAAATAAGTAATGGGAAATGTTGTGCTTTGCGGTTTGGATCGGTTATAAAATATGTTACTTATGGTATGCCAAAATAATTATTCAAGGAAGGAAACTAAAACAAGTAATAAAGCATAATTTGCAAACGATGTAATAAACTTAAATTATCAGTATATATATATACCTTCTGACACACACTCTCGTAGTATTAGTAGGAGATTTTCATATAACATCTCATCTTTAGACAACACGTGACTATCTGGCATTCACATCATGTCTAGATACACCCAGACCCTCAAGAAGTAATATATTAATAGAGCATTTTGTGGAAAACTCTGAATTCAACAGTTTACAACACGGGCTGACTTCAAGTAACCGATGAAAACCATGGAGTACTGGACAGATATTTAGCCTTAGCACGTGACGCTTCAGCCGTGAAGATCCGTGACCCCACCGAGGGTCAAACCTAGGACCCTCAGGTCATACAGCAAGTGCCTAGCCTGTTTAATTACCGACACACCACCTATTGGTTTGTATACTAAGATTCAACAGTTAACCAGAGTTCCCTGATTTTCAACAGCTGTCTAACTAGGACCGCCAAGTGATGCAAACTATGATTTGACATCATGCATCTGGCTTCCGTATATGCACACATATAACACTTTATTGGAAATTCGATACAGAGAAATGACTAGTTTTGGAGGTTCGAGAAACACAATAGGTTATTTATGGTGTAAGTCATGACAATTAAATCACTCAGTGTAAGTGCAGAACATGAGATGAAAGTAATCGCTGAGATATTATGTTTAAACGAGAAACATATTATCAGATTCAATGAAACTTTCTTTGACTTAACACTTAAAAGTGACCAAAACTGTCACTGTTTCAAACGAGAGTTGCATATTCTAGTATTGATAGACGTACTCTGAATAACAGGCGTCATGGTTTCTGAGCTTCTTCATATAACCTATTTGAACTTATGTCGTAATTACTATGACTAGACGAAAGAATGGTACACTATATTTAGTTAGAGAAACAATTGCAAAGCTACTGTGTATCGAACAACACACAGACAGAAGTGCTAAACAATCAGACTAGTGTTAAGAACTAAGGTGGATAAATTGCGAATTTAGTAGCAAACATGTTCTTGGAAAATATATAACGATACAAAACTTTTTTACGTTTGACAGTTCAAGCAAGAAGCGGCTCTAAAATATGACCTCAAAAAACTAGTAAAACCCATTTGATATTCAAATCTTACGGCCAGGACTGATTCTTTATTTACTTCTTAAAATATTAAGTATTAGATCTGTGTTGGTAGCTTAAATCTTCCAGACAGAACGAAACGGGAGTTCTGGATCCCGCTGCTAGCCATCACCCATCTCTCCTTTATGGCGTTCCTTTTTGTGATCGGTTAGGTCAATGCTTAAAACCAACATTATTAAACTAAATGTCTTATTTTCGTCAATCAAACTGACATATAGACGGAGAATGGCAAACTTAAACTATGCACCCCACCAATTATCCACATACGTTAAGATGAACAATATCTTTTCTTATGATTACGCTACCATATATGATGTTGTTGCAAATCCGGAATATCAATTAAGTTCCAAAGGTTAATGGTGAGGATAAACCTAGTCTTTAAGCTAGTCTTGATAAACGGTCTGAATAAGATAAACTACGGGAAAATAGATGGTTCCATTAGGTTTCGTAATCTGACACAACCACGGCTGTTCCGAGAGCTATATTTAGAAGACAATATTATATGTTACAGTAAATAAAGCTATACAAGTTAATTTGAAAGTAAACATTTTAGCAGTAGTTGCAGTACTTCTGTGACGACCTTAAATAGGAGTTCGACACTGAACTAGACTGTCATCTAATCAAGCTAGGCGAGGACAACCTAGGACGAGTACAGCTTCTAAAGTTTTCTGAAGGAGACTTATAAACAGTGGTGCTCTGTATTTAACGCTAAACAGCTCGACAGGAACGTAAGGCAGTTCTTAAGCATGAGCGAGTGTAGATTGTATCACCTGTATGACCTTCAAATATTAAAAACTGATTACTCCAAAATCTTGGCCTTTCGAGACGGTATGTTGTGATGTGACAAGAACTTGATCAAGCTCGTTGTCATTCCTCTCGGTAGGAACCTAAAGTCTGAAGGAATACACAAAACTAACATTGACCAATTGCTTGCAACGAAGAACAGGACCCAGATATATCAACGAAAACAAAGTAATCTGAACCAGCGATGAACAAATAGATTAGAAGATAATCTATGAAATGTGAGGAATAAAATATATAGCAACTTGAAATTATGAGTGAGTCTCTAGTATATACAAACATTGAAAAAGTAAAGGAATCATGACAAACAACCTGGGCGAACATTAGTCCTGATTCCATTTAAGGGCAAACAACCCTCTCTTTACAGTCCGAAACTATTAGCTCAAACAAACAAAGCAAAATACTTGAGTGTTTACGCCATCACTTCATTGGCTTATTCATTATGTTAATCGTATGTAAGATGACACGTTGTTGTGAATAATTATGATAGTGGGTTTGTCAACACTTTGTAGTGACTCACGTTTATCACGAGAACACGACTGGTTTAATAAAAACAATTATTATTATAACCAACTGTACCAGTGTTTGTTTTAATGTGCTTTTGTTTAACTGTGCTAATTGTAGCCATTTTGTGCTTCCATTACCTTCCATTATTGTTCCGCGGTTTTTGGTACTGCTCGCACGTACTCCCGTTTCTGCTTTCACTTGTACCATTCCTTGGCACGATCTCGGTATTCGTTCAATACCACGAGATCGCCAACGAAATAAATCTGGTTACGATCGATCCTCGCCTTCTGATTTGTCTGGCACGCGTTTCTGGGTAGCGGTGTTCACAGTTAATCTCAACTCGACGCCTCGCTACAATTGGTGATCCCAAAGTTTGGAACACGCCTCAACCTCGGGTCAAATCTTCCAAAGAAGCCAATTTGGTGAGTCTATTATTTATCTATCCACGTCTGTCGTATATTTTCATATTAATTTTTAATATATAATATACACGACATGACGGATAGCGAGAAGAATACTATTAATGCTATAGACTCAGACGTACAGGCCATTCATTTTCGACCTGTATCATTTATCCCCCACGACCCTGAGGTCTGGTTTGCTGCGTTAGAGTCTCAGTTCGAGACTCGTCGCATCACGAGCCAAAGGCAAAAATACGCCTACGCTCTCGAGTCATTACCCGGGGACCACTTGGTAGCTGTTCGTGAGGTTGTCCTCAATTCTAACGTACCTAATGTTTATGATCGCCTCAAAGAGGCAATTCTCCGACATTTCCTCCCATCGAGGGAGGAACGATTGAGGACACTGTTAGCACGTCACCCCCTGGGTGATGCTAAACCGAGCCACCACCTCACGCGCCTGCAATCTCTTGCAGGACCAACAGCAAGTGACTCAGAAATAGTTAAGGAATTGTGGCTAGAGTCACTACCAGCACATATACAACCCACTGTGACGGCACTGCTCGAGGACTCACCGCTTGACCAGGTAGCCCTCATAGCAGATAAAATTTTAGCGAGGACTAGCAATAAAGATACCTATGTAGTTGCTTCAACGGCACGTCCTAAAGTAGACTTGGACGCCGGTCATTCCTCAGCTCATGGCGACAGGGACGGGTGTATCCACACACGTCTTAGTTTTCGAGACCGTTGTAACGTACCCCAACCCTACGTCCCCCGAGCTCGCTCAAGTTCTCGCAAACGCGTCACCACTCGCCCAAAACGGGCATCTTCCAAGCCACGCCGGAAGGCGGCTACGGAAGCGAGTGATAGATGGTGCTGGTTCCATAGGTCCTTCGGGTCTGGCGCCCGCCGTTGTCGAGCACCATGCTCATACAAGGCGGGAAACGCCAGCGCCGGCGAGTAAAAGCGGCCGTACTCGCCGGCCCTTCACCCCAGGTTGGTCGCCTATTCTATGTGCACGATTACCGCACGAACGCTAGGTTCCTAGTAGACACTGGGGCCCAAGTTTCTGTCGTACCACGAGGTAGCAGCAAGTCACAAGCCACAGTGCTTCGACTACGCGCTGCGAATGGCTCAGTCATTCCTACCTACGGTACACGACAACTCGCGGTCAACCTGGGCAACCGACGACGGTATCTGTGGACGTTCATCATTGCTGATGTTCCCACAGCCATACTAGGTATCGATTTTCTACAGCACTATGAATTGCTTGTCGATTCACGTAGGCTGCAGCTAATCGATACTTCGTCGAACAGCAAATTCATGGGCTGTAAAGCCCACATGAACGCGTACCGAATCCTCGGCACTTTTTACTCGCGTGATGATAAATTCCACGCTTTATTCGAGAAATTCCCCGTACTCACTAAACCACTCGAGGAGCTTCCATCGGTGACCAATCGTGTGGTACACCACATAGTCACCCGCGGACCGCCAGTCACGGCACGACCTCGCCGACTGGCACCGGACAAATTAGCGTTTGCTAAGCGTGAGTTTGACAATTTACTAGCTACTGGTATTATTCGTCCTTCTCACAGTCCATGGGCCTCTCCTCTTCACATGGTGCGCAAAAAAGATGGGGTTAGTTGGAGACCATGCGGCGACTACCGAGCTCTAAACGTAGTTACGCGCTTTGATAGCTACCCCATCCCCCACATACACGACATCACGGCATCGCTCAAGGGCACGACTATCTTTTCTAAGATCGATCTGGTACGAGCATATCATCAGATCCCAGTCGCTCTTGAAGATATCGAAAAGACTGCTATCACGACTCCTTTCGGTTTGTTTGAGTTCCTACGAATGCCATTTGGATTACGGAATGCTGCTCAAACTTTTCAAAGGTTTATCGATAGCATTGTACGAGACCTCGATTTTGTTCACGTCTATATTGATGACCTGCTAATCGCATCATCAAACGTAGATGAACATTATCAACATCTTACGCTATTATTCCAACGCCTTTCGGATAATGGAATAGTAGTTAACCCAGACAAATGCGAGTTTGGTAAACGAGAGATCATATTTCTGGGTCATGTTATCAAGCAAGAGGGTATTTTACCTTGTGAGGACAAAGTGCAAGCGATAAAGGAGTACAACGAGCCGTCCTCACTCAAGGAACTGAAGGCTTTTCTCGGTTTGGTTAACTTCTACCGTCGTTTCATCCCACACGCGGCAGAACGGTTACGACCACTAACCGACTTACTACGCGGCAACCCACGCAGATTGGAAATGAACGATTCTGCACGTACTGCATTCACTGAAATCAAAACGGCTCTTGCGCAAGCCACTCTTCTCGCCCATCACGATCCATCAGCCACGCTTAGTATAGCGGTTGATGCATCCGATGTCGCTATAGGAGCAGTCATGCAACAAAACATCTCCGGTAGTTGGCAACCTCTCGAGTTCTTCTCACGACGCCTTACTACCACGGAGACGAGATATAGCGCTTTTGGTCGCGAGCTGCTAGCAGCCTACTGCGCCATCAAACATTTTCGGCACGCAGTAGAAGGACGTCAATTCATTTTATTCACCGACCATAAGCCCTTAACGTATGCTTTGCATACCAAGTCTGACCGCTACTCACCACGAGAGTGCAGACATTTGGACTATATCTCTCAGTTCACGACAGATCTTCGTCACATCCAAGGCAAGTCGAACTGTGTTGCCGATGCTCTATCACGAATCCAAATGAATGCAGTTACCCTGCCGGTGCTTGATCTTCCTGCTATGGCCGCTGCCCAAGCAAACGATCCCAGTTGTACAAAAGCACCACACTCTACGTCCCTTCAGTATCAGGAAGTACCTCTAGCCACGACTTCTGGCACCATTCTATGTGATACGTCTACCGGTCTTCCTCGACCCATCGTACCCTCTGCTTATCGCCGTCTCGTATTCGATGCCCTGCATGGATTATCTCACCCAGGTATCGCAGCTACATTACGCCTCATCGCTGCACGATACGTCTGGCCGTCCATGAACAAAGATGTTCGTATGTGGGCTAAGCAATGCTTACAATGTCAACGATCAAAAGTGCACAGGCACGTAGCCGCCCTCTCGGTACTTTCGCTACGCCTGATGCTCGCTTCGATCACGTTCACTTAGACATTGTAGGACCACTGCCACCATCGCACGGGTATGATCACTTACTCACGTGCATCGACCGTTTCACCAGATGGCCCGAAGCTATACCCATCACGTCTATCACGGCGGAGACAGTTGCTCACCGCTTCGTAGAACGATGGATAGCTCTATATGGTTGTCCCTCGACCGTCACGACTGACCGAGGACAACAATTTGAGTCCGCACTATTCTCCTCACTTACTCGGCTGCTTGGTACGGAGAGAATACGCACTACCGCCTACCATCCAGCTTCAAACGGTTTAGTTGAAAGGTTTCACCGTCAACTTAAAAGTGCTCTTCGAGCACACGAAAACGACGACTGGTACGAAACCTTACCGCTCGTTCTCTTAGGTATCAGAACGAGTTTAAAGGCAGATATCCAATGTTCCGCCGCTGAACTTGTATACGGCACGACATTGCGTCTGCCCGGGGAATTCTTCACACCACGGAGCAGACATGATTTCGCTAAATCAGACTACGTCCAACGACTGTCTGCATTTATGCGAACGCTGTCTCCGGTGTCAACTCGAATACAACATCGACAGGTCGCTCTCCCTCGAGAGTTATCTACCTGTTCACATGTTTTCATACGAGTAGATTCGGTACGCAAACCTTTGCAACAACCTTACGAAGGCCCTTTTCGCGTGATCGCTCGTCACGAAAAGACCTTCAAGGTTGATCGACACGGCCGCGTCGAGATCGTCAGCATTGATCGTCTCAAACCAGCACACGTCGATGACAGTGCCCTATCTGATAACCTGAGATTCAATGCTAGACCAAGTAAACCTACTAGCGGGATCCTCAAATCATCTACAGGTCCCACGCTAGATACAACTGAGACCTCACTCTCACGTCCCAGTCAACAGCACGCGTCATCTGCACCGTCTACGGACGAGACGACAGTCTCACGTCCAGATCAGCAGAACACGCCGCCCTTGACTTCGGATGAGATTGCAGGCTCACGCGACGCGAACGAGACTATCGTCTCACGTTCCGGTCGCCGAGTACGGTTACCCGTACGCTTCCTCGATTAGTCGCACAGTCGACAACCGATACGGTGTAGGAATATTCCTATGCTACTTGCATGCTACACTCTTCTTTTTTGATTTTCTTTTTGTTTCCTGAGCCCACGCCTTCGACCATCTCCGTTTGGTTCCGTCGACTTCAGTCAACTTTGGCGAAAGCTGGATTGGCCACCCATGCTCTTGTCAACGTTTTCAGTCGATATATTGGTTTCGAATGCTTGGCATACGCTTGGTCTCGAACTTGGTCTTTACGG